GTATGGTTCCTGCTTGAATGCATACTATATGTTGAAATGACTGTGATAAACAATTCAATGTTTGGTCTGTACCGTGCTGTATATAGTATACTATATAATCAGTACAAATATGTAAAAATAAGATGTATTTTCTAATCTTATTAACAAAGATTATGACGCACTGAACTAATATTGCCTATAAATCTATAATTGCCTATAACTGTTTTGTCTTTTGAGCAATTATTATGGCTTATAATTTAACTCATTAATGGTTGACATGATTTGCCACGTACAAAGTTTATGTATTATGATGAGTATCAGTATAAAAATATTTAAAACAACCTCGCTATTGTTATCAGTATTGGCTAAACACCCAAGATAACAACCTATTAAAATTGTCATACAATATTTTTTTGAACTACTGAGTATTTTACAAAATACAAAACAAGTGAAACTCCATTGATAAATATAAAAATGTTATCGATCTTTAGAGTTTCGTTCACTTCTTTTTATATTAGTTGTATTGTTCAAGATTAACCAAAATATAATTGGTTATTTTAACCTATTTACTTCGGTCAATTGGTTAAATTAACCTATTTATATTAGTTGTACCCAAATGTTAGAGATTAACCAAAAAATAATTGGTTATTTTAACCTATTTATTTTGGTTATAACCTATTCAATTGGTTAAAACAACCTATTTATATAAGTGATAACCTTTACAAATAGGTTATTTTAACCTATCAGTTTTTACAGTGTGTAGTTCCCCTTTTCTCGATTTCCGGATTTTGCCCCGCGTTCACCTCCGGTTTCCCTTTCTTCATTCTCACCACCAGTCTTAGTTTTTCTAGAGCTCAGGCCTGTTTTAGGAGGCTTGACACTTCGTATAAACTTGTTGTCTTTCTTAGATGACACAGTGGTCGTGGTGGTTCCTTGGTAGGATGACATGGTCAGTGAATCGCGGTTGAAATCTAAGTAGACTTTCCCCAGTGTGCCATCAAAACGGTTTTTAGTAACCTAACAGACAAATGGAGATATGAGGTTCAGTAATTTAACCAGTACAATCGCTCATGAAAAGTTACTAAAGCAGGTAACTTAGCCCTACGGAATTTTAGGATTTTAACACTATTATAGTAAATATTATAAAACTGATTTGGTAAATTTTGCATTGATAGCATTTTCACATTGGTCCCCCTGTTCTTCCCATACCTGCAGATATTTTCCTGCGTTTTTTCCTTTCTTATCTTGCAAAATGATAACATTATCTGCTTCTTGACTTGCTTTTGCTGAACCAAAGATAGACGCTGTTTGTAGCTCGGCATCGTCACTCTCCTGTTATACAAACATGGTGCGATAAATCAATACTTTTAGCCGTACCTGACTGGTACTCCGACAACTTTTGCCGTGTACCTGATCTGGTACACACTTAAGAGTCAAGACGTACCTATAAGACTACTTCCGAGTCATGCGTTTTTATACCTACGTATAGTTCACTGGTCCAAAAGCAAAAAATGTATGGGCAGTTTTGTACAAATGAATACTTAATTATGGTATTTGTACAACATAATATAACAGTTTTCAAAGCGTCGACGTTGTGACTCGAATGCCATCGCCCATTTACAGTGGATTTACCGAGGGCGAGGGTGCTAGCAGTCTGACCACAGCTACATACAGTGTAGTTTTCCTCATTGGGCCTAAAAAAACCTGTGGTTCCGGTTTCATATCGCGAAAAAATTAGGGTAGGTAGGTTGGAAATAAAAAAATTTTTGAACATTTTTTTCATGGTTTTGGCGGTTTTTTGCTGAGCGATTTTCAGTAGAGTCCTGACATCAATATTATTGTGACAACAGACGCCATTTTGGCACGCTGTGCAAGCAGCCCGCAACTATCTGGAGAAAATAGGGTCGCACGGTCAATCCTGTTGAAAAAAATAATAGGGTGGGCAGAAAAAAATAGGGTCGGTCGGGAAAGCGGAACCACAGGTATTTTTTTAGGCCTTGATATAGATTGACAATTAAGCCCAGGTCACCCCACGCAACGATAACGATAACTTGTAAACACACGATGATTGGTCAATAAAATTATGTTGGTGTCCACACTACAACGAAAACGATAAAATTATTGGCGTTTGACGATAACGATTTTAAAATCGCTCACCGGAGCGATTTTTTTTTCAGTCGGACGATGACGATAAATTTTTTGAACAAGGGCAAAGATAATCTTTTGGCTTTTTTCATCCCAAAATATGTCGGATGCGTGGAATTTTCATGTACAGCCAAAGTTCTTCACGGTTTCGAATACTTTGGCAGGTTTCCTAGTTATTACTAGAAGGAAAATGTAAGTACGCGAAAAGCAAATTTCCGCGTACCTACGTGGTGCTTGCCTAAAAACAAAGAAGTACCAGACCATAAATTTGGCGTACCTCCGGTACGTTGGTACGCGAATTATCGCACCCTGATAAAGCATATTTATATAGTAGTTACTAGGCAGTCCGTGAAAATTCTGCGGCAAGACAAAAAGTGAAAGTGTGTCGACTGGGTTAGAATATCGAGGAAGCAAGACTAAGATGATTTGGTAATTTAGAAGACTAGAGGCACAGCTTAATCAGAATGGAAGACAGAAAACGATAGCACGGTAGACCGTGACAACGACGAGTGGATTCTGTTAAAGAAGATTAGTATAGGTAATAGGATGGTTTCGAGTGAAATTTGGATAAAACATGCACGAGTGAGTTTTTCAAAGAGCATCAAGCTTTTTGAGGTTTTTGAAAAACTCGTGAGTGCTTGTTTTATTCAAATTAGACGAGAAACCATGCTATTAGGTATTAATAATATATATCAAAACGTTCGAGACAATTGTACGTTTATAGCGAACCGTCCACTGGCAAAGTTTTCCTGGCTTTGTTATATCACATTATACAACCTGACAGCTTGAAAATTCCACTCAACTATGTAAGTTTTGTTAGTCTTGTTGACTTGTTTTAGGTAAAGGCTTTTCAATTAAAGCCATAATTGAAGAGATAAAAGCCATATTAGTAGTAGGTTACCCCCCCCCCCAATACAATAACGGAAGTAATTAGTATTCAAGCGAGCTCTTAAAATCAGTGCGATTTCGTGTTACCCCCTTTATCTCTCTTTTGAACACGCAGCGGAACATTTTAAAAACTTTGGGAAAGAGCATGAAGCGAAACTTGATTTCTTGATGAATTTGAGGCGGGATTCAAGCTTTTCTAATTACCAGAGCATTTTTGAATTATTTTTCGTATTGGATTAATGATCTCTAAATTACTTAGGACATTGTGCGTGAGACACTTTTATGTGTGAACGTTTCTTTAATATATTATGTAGCTCTTATACATTGTTTATTGATGTAAGGCTGTTGCTTTGAGAAATAAATTGTTAAAGCATAAATAATTTGTGTATTAGTTTCAAACACTAATCTGTGTTTTTGCGTGGGAAATGACTATCGTGTGCATGTACAAAACGTTAATCCTTGTTTAATTGATGCATGCAGTCAACCAACGCGGTAGCTTTGGCAATAATATTTTGCCCTTAAAATCAGTTCGATTTCGTGTTACCCCTTTATCTCCCTTTTGAGCACGCATTGGAACATTTTAAAAACTTTGGGAAAGATCGCGATGCGACTCTTGATTTCTTGATGAATGTGGCGTGCTTAATCTTTGCGTGCGACCTTTCCGTGCGACCCAGACGTCTTTAAACTACGTTCACGTGGACCGCTGTACATGAGGTTTATCGTCATTAAACAATAGGGTCGATGAGAGATCGATTCTCTGGGGTTCTGTCAGGGGTTCTCTCGGGGTTCTGTAGGGCTTCTCTCGGGGTCCTGTAGCGGTTCTCTCGGAGTTCCCTGGGGGTTCTCTGCATGTCGGATACGATTCAGTGTGATGAGTACTATATCAAATATAACAGACAAACAAATAGGATTGATGAAATTTATTTTTAAAGTATAGAAGTACAACAATTTATTCGATAGTATCGCTTTCATCGTCTGAATAATGTTGTCGTTTTTCTAAAAGACGTTTGAAAAGAAACTTTCTCTTTTCTACTGCGGAATATAAAGCTTCTTCCCGGTCGAGGAAATCTGCGTCAATCAAATTATCTCTTGTCTGCATGATCTTCTTGTGAATTGGATTTTTTCTCATGTGTGACATCCATAGCAGCCGTTCTACATAAAAATCTTCTAGTTCTTTTATGAGTTTCGGAAGAAGTTCTGAAAACGATTGCCTCTTAGCTTCAACTTGAAGCTAAGAGGCAATCGTGCCTTCAACCTCACTAAAACCCTCATTATTAAGGCATTCAACGTTTTCTTGAAATTTATCCAAAAGTTGCAGTTTTGCTTCGTGTATCAACGTTTGCCAGGGGTCGTAGTCCTCTCCATCTTCGCTGTATTCGTGTTCTCCGTCTTCGCTTTCCTCTTTGCTGTCATCTTCCTCGCTATTCTCATTTCCTTCGCTGTTGCTCTCTTCTTCACTGCTATGTTCTTTTTCTTTCTCGTCATCACTATCGAAAATATCGCCGTTGTGAGATGAGGAAGATGACCCTTCATCGTAATTATCCATCCTAGCTCTTTTTGATCTGCGCATAATGCTGTAGTCTTCTTCATCTGCGCAAAATGACTTGGCGTCACCAGGGCGCTGTAAAACACGGGCGGTGAAACGGCTATGGCGCCCCTGATCTATGTGTGATGCAGGTCCCCCCGCATATTTTCATTTTTATTCGAATTCGATGTGGTTTGATCAGGCATGCATGTTTGTTTTGACTTCTTTTTAAAATTACTACGTAAAAAGGTACAATTCAAGTTGAATTCACAATGGATTTGGGATCTGTGCTATTACTATAGACAAAATCTTTTTTCCGGATTCTTAATCACGGCTGATTATATGGGGAATGTTGTAGTGTAAGATATAGGGTCATTCCATTTATTATCCGCACCCCCCCCCCTATGGATGAGCTCTGGTAAAAATGTTACCTGTAGGAATCGGATTTCAGAGAAGTACCCTGTTGGAATCGACAGTATCAATCTAAACCCTAGGAATGCTGCTAATTGCCAATATCTCACTGGTAGGAATCTGCTAATTGCCAATATCTCACCGGTAGGAATCTGCTAATTCCCAATGTCAGACCGGGGGGGGGGTGAGGATAATAAATGGAATGATTATGATTCTCATAATAAATATTTGGCAATATAGTATGCTACACCTCGACGGCAATATCTGACCGGTAGGAATCGGGCCGAAGGAATCTGCTAATTCCCAATATCTGACCAGTAGGAATCCCCTAAGTCCTAATATCTGACCGGTAGGAATCCGCTCATCCATAGGGGGGGTGCGGATAATAAATGGAATGACCCATATTAAAGTCTGGGATCTCACTCACGAGGATCGATTGTTTTTGCAAAACAACTTCGTTCGTTTATAAGATGAAAAAAAAGACGAAGAAAAAGTTTTTTAAACGGCTGTTGTTGTAAAACCTGCAAGTGGAATGTGTGTTTGGAAATCAGGTATGTTCAATCACATGTATTTTTGTCAAGTTCCACCAGATGAAGCGCCATAAATTGATAAAAACAGCAAGTTCTTTTTTTCAAGCGATAGTTTGTGGAAAATTTTTAACTTTTAAATATTTCATGCACAATATATGAAAACTAGTTTTATTTTGATGTTTTTGTATAATTTAAGTACCTAGTTTTCTGAAAATCACCAAATGAGAATGGGCTTTTTTAATTTTTAAACATTTTTTTGGCCTTATTTTTGACATGTGCATGCCAAATTTATGAAATCTACACATGAAATACAAGCAAGCGATAGTTTGTTGTCGCAGTTTTACAAGCGCGGAAAATTTTTAACTTTTAAATATTTCATGCACAATATATGAAACCTATTTTTATTTTGATGTTTTTGTATAATTTAAGTATGTAATTTTCTGAAAATCACCAAATGAAAATGGGCTTTTTTAATTTTTAAACATTTTTGCCCTGATTCAGTTTGACATGTCCATGCCGAAATCTACACATGGAATAGCATTGCCTTCGACTTTGCGTTTTTGAAATCTGACACCCTATGAAAAAAGCTGGAAAGAAGTATGTTTAAACAAAAAAGCCCATTCTCATTTGATGATTTTCAGAAAATTACGTACTTAAATTATCCAAAAACATCAAAATAAAGCTAGTTTTCACATATTGTGCATGAAATATTTAAAAGTAAAAAGTTTCCGCGCTTGTAAAACTGCGACAACAAACTACATCGCTTGCTTGCATTCGATATGGCATTGTGTAGACTTGGCATGCACATGTCAAAAATAAGCCAAAAAAATGTT